AATGAGAATTAGGTTTTTTATTATAGTGAAAGAAACATTGGTTTTTGCTTAATTTTTTTAATTTTGAATTAGAGATTTAATATAAAAAATGGAAATATAAAGGTGCTATGTGGAAAATTTGTTTTATGAAATAATAACGTGTATTAAATCTAAAATTTAACTAAAACATTAATACATATTAATTTTTAAAACTGAATTAATTAAAATGAGGTATTGTTATTAGTGTTGTGAACGCAGAAAGTGTAGTATCGGGTAGCGTGGCCGAGCGGTCTAAGGCGCTGGTTTAAGGCACCAGTCTCTTCGGAGGCGTGGGTTCGAATCCCACCGCTGCCAAGTTTTTTTTTACTCGACTTGTAACATTATCTTACTCTCACAATTTGTTTGAGGTTAATTATTAGTATTACTACGATTGTCATGACAAAAATTACCCAAAAAGATAAAAAACAAATTTGAATAACGGTCTGCGGTAAGGAGATATACCGGGTGTTTATGAAAATTAACCTTGTAATAGAAGAATACAGAAATACTGTAACCGAGAAAAAAACTCAAGCAATTGTTATTATTAAGAATGCTATTCCTCTAAAATATGGTACAAGCGGTTTGAGGGTCACTGGAATTATTCCCTTGTTTAGTTAAAATTGTATTGTTGCAACAGATAAAAACATCGTATTCATGACAATGAAAGAGAAAAGTCACTTCATACTTTTGACATAGTCATCATTTGATTTGCTTTTGTTTTAGTTTTTATCAAAATTTGAAGATCTTCTGCTTAATCTCTCACAGCAAAATCCTTTCCAATAGGTTTGATTCGTTTTTCTTAATTTTTTTCCAAATTTATGAACATGTATGGCAAATATTAAAATAATAAATTGGTTGTCGTGATTATGGTTTACGGTGAAACACAAAGTAATGATAGGTACTAATGGCCATTGTTGCAGCCAAAGCAGCAGTTCTCAAACAAATAGTATAACATGAATTATTTCATTTAACAACGTGAATTTTTTTATACAGGGTGTCAATTTTAAAACTTGCAATCGTCAATATCTCTAGAACTAAAAAAGTTATTGAGAATCACTCAAAACCGTTTCGGTAGTTTTTAGGGGGAATCAAAATGGCATGGTAAGTGACGCTCCTCCACCCACCCTTCAAGCCACAGCCACCTTAAGTTGAAAATTTTAAATGGCACGACCCTACTTGCGATACATCGTTGAAAAGCCCATAACAAGCGCTTTTCAAAAATGTCATACAACAGCCTATTTGGTAAAGTTATTTTTCGAATTATTCAAAAACGAAGACGTTAAATTTTCATTTTTTTCACTATATTCAAGGGTGGGTGGAGGTGTGTCACTTATCATGTCATTTTAATTTCCATAGGAACCACCAAAACGGTTTTGAGTGATTATTAATAACTTTTTCAGTTGAGAGAAATTGCCGATTGCAAGTTTTAAAATTGACACAGTGTATAGCGTATTAGTTTTCTTCTATCGTGAATATCATCATCATCTCATTTAAATGTCAACCCTAAGACCGTAAACACCCTGCATTGTACATTGTCCCACAATGTAAGTAGTTTGTTCCGAATCCGCAATTCAAGTTGCACTTTAGAAACTTGACCGTTTATGGTTTATAGTTATAAAGGTAAAGAAACAAGTAAAAAAATAAGGGAAAAGGAAAAAAAACAAATTCAAAAAAAGCAGAAAATCAAAACGAGGAAAGTTCAGAAGATGAAAACGATGAAGACACGCCTTGTTTTTATTATAAGGAACTATATTCTCAATCAAGTGAGGGCTAGTGCTCTTGTGTGAGGTGCAAAAAATGGGCACATTTGTGGTGTGTTGGTTTTGACAGCGATGGTCATATGAGTCGGTGTTGATTTGCGAATTTTGTACGCAAAAAATTAAAAATGTTCATTTTCATACATATATCCCGGTACCTACGTTTTTTGTTTTTTTTTAGAACTGTTTTGCTATTATTATGTTCCAAATAGCGTAAATTAAAGGTAATTTAGTAATTATTGTGTACTTTTATTCAATTCGTCGTGACAAGTCATTTAAAAAGATGGTACCTCGTTCCGCCCCACTTTCCCCTATAACTAATTTTTTAAATATTATTCATAAGTGTTAATTTTCAAATGTTTAAATGCTTTCCAATTTAATTTATAATTTTGTTGTGAAAATATACGTTATATACAGAGTGTCTTAAACGCAAACGTCAACAATCGTGTTTAAAAAAATGTCATTTTGAGAAAAAACAATTAAACAATTCGTTAAAGAGTAACATCTAAGCCTTAGCAAAGAGTAACAAGTAATTTTCTACAAATCGTGATAATCAAAAGTAAAAAGTACAGGGTTATTCACGAGAGAGTTATTTCTGAAAAACCGGACAAGAGTAATAATAACACTAATAACAGCTATTGTGAATTTAGTTAAAATTATTTTTAAAATTTGAAATCAAAAAATTGTTGTAATATGTATAATAGTTTGCGGCCAGAAAAATTTTATAAATAACCCTCTCGTGAATAACTCTGTATTATTTGTATAGCACGTTGAAATTTATCGAGTTTCTTCCTTTCTGATCATCTTTCTTAATCGGCGATTGTAATATCGCCAGTAAGCGCGCTCGCTACCTGCCCTATTTTAAGTATGTTCATAAACATAAATGTGAATACGTAAGGAAGAGTAAATGGTGTTTTTATCATCTTTAATAATAGGATTTGAATTTCTGCAAGTTTCACGTTACATTGGGGCTCGATTCGTGTCTCGTAAGTCTGTGCAATTTTTACAAAATTGCACATAATACACAGTTCTCGACTTTGTCATGTTACGTCAACGTCTTTTGTGCCTTAATCTAGGTAGTATCGGCTTAAGATTTCATCTCCTCAACCACAATAATAGCCTTAAATTAGAAACGTAGTTTCCTGTTGAAAGCATAAACCGTCTGTCAAAAATATGATTCCTCAAAGTTTCATAGAGATAAAATTGGCGACGCTAATTAAAAAAAGTGAATTTTTCGCACGTTCCTCGAAGCCATGATTTAACAAAACATAGTCCAATCAACGCGGTGCCTGATGCACCCCTGATGCTCCATTAAAATGACGTAAAAAAACGATGGAATAATCTGGCTCACAAAGGGGGCGACACAATGCGAGGGTCCTTTTCATCACAATAACAATACACCGTTACGCTTGTTTCTGATTGGCCAAGGCTGCCATGACGGCTGAAACAATGGAACAAAACAAGACTTTCGCAAATTAGAAACACTCTTACGACAGGAATATCATTATTATACGCGACAGAAAACGCGACTATTACGTCAAATGTGAAAGAATAAAACGACCACAGGAGAAAAATTTCCATAACTAACTACCTACCACCTAAACTATAGGTTTATTTACAAAAAGTATATACATATGTATGTATTTAATTTTCAATGTTTGACATTTACTGGTTATTGACCTCGATACCAACCTTAGAAAAATTCATTATTTAAATGCGTAACGTAAAATAGGAACTGTTTAGATGCTGAAATGTTATCCATTTTTACTACAGCCACTCTTATATAACACTTATCTCGACAACATTTTACAGAGATTACATGAATACAAGTGTCACAGGTAAATATGAGATTTCAAAAGCTCGGAAACATTTCCTAAATAGGTTTTATCATGGTTCAAATCTCTTATAAACACAAAATACGATTTAAAAGCTCTTTACATTAAAATTTTAAGCTTTAGGTATTTATTTTATTTGTTTTATTTCTTTTGTGGTCACTCTTTCTACACCTTTTTTTTTTAAACATCTTACGATCAGAAGCACTATATCTTCCTAATAGGATCAAACTGACACTTTTCCAATCACTTGAGTCTGATAGGTAAACCACACCTTTTCAAAGTGCATTAAACATGCTACATCTCTTATTAAATCCCTAATGGTTTTCTTCTTTATAGTCACGCATACAAACAAGAGTTTTACTAAGCTATTAGGAGTTTTGTTAATCTACAATAGCATCTAAAAATCTTTTCTTGTTCATCGAGAGACCTGTCAATAGACTACCTGCTTTTGGTAACATTTTATATCAGAAAATTTAGTTAAAACACGAATAAGGCAGAAAATCTGATATTTAATGAATAAGCTAACATTACTATGAAAGCGCTGAAGGGTTACATACAAAAAATCAAATAAATTTTTAGTTAGTATAAGTGTTAATTGACAATAACTGTCAATTTCCAGTTGCTTATTAATTGTCAGATAGTACATACGTGACAATTGGCAGATAGTGACAGTTAGTAATTGGCAATTGTCAGTTACTAGGTATCTGGCAATTGTCACTAACTGGCAATTGACAGTTACTATTACTAGTTACTATTACTCGTTACTATTACTAATTGTCAATTTAGTTGATAATTTTGTGTATATGTGACCCTTCAACGCTTTTGTATTTCGTATCATACACATCAGTGCAAAGAAATTAAAAACAAACAAAAAATGTCTAAATATACTTGCAAGTAATAATACAGGGTTACCTATTCATCGTAGAGTTTTCGCAA